CATATGCATGTGATCCGGGTTTGGCTCCACACACATATTGTCAACATCATTAAAGGTTTTAATACGTCTCCATGGCCACATGCGATGAATCGCATGTGGCCATGGAGACTCTCTACTGTTCACAGTAGAGCTAAATTTACACAAACTGTAATCGTTGTGTGTTGTAAATTGTCCCTTATGTCATTTCCACAGCTTTAAAATATAAATGTGGGTCAATTAACTTTTTTACCGACACTCTGCTGGCCTTAATTTTTTAAATAATCAACTAAAACATCCAATTGGTCTACAGTCTAAATCGAATTTCTAAAACGATTATTAATTTATTATCTTTTCATCGCATATTTAGGGGAAAAAATTCAAATTCTGTATAATTGGTAACGCCAGAGACGAAACTTGAAAAGTACTACATAATCGTGAATGTCATGAAAACTGTTCATACCAAATTATTCGATTATGCATGTAGGAGCTAATAATAAAAAAATAATGAGACAAGTTGACACGTCCCACGTGCCTGTAATTTCACCAGCACCCTTGCCCTTCAAAACCGGAACACAGTAATGCAGACATTACTGCTTGGCGGCAGAAATAGGTAAGGTGGCAGTACTACCCTGGACGAACTCTTTCACAAAGAAGTCTACTGCTACTAAATGCTAACTATGCTAACTTCTGCTTATGCTAACGCGGTTGATATGGACAGGGAATTATAGTACCTTACGCCGATTGGCAAATCCTTTCACCACGATGGCAAGCATGGTATAAGGCAGGTATCGATACGATAAGAAAAAGACTGACAAGGAGTAAATAAGTATTAATATTTATATAAATAATCCATAAATGTCGCTCGCTGCATATCTTAAGATATGACTCTAGATTATGATGACTTTCGTAACATCAATTGGACGTAGTTAAACAAAAAGGAGCCAATGCACATCCAGTCACTTTCGAGATATGGCAGTTTAAAGTTTAAAAGTGTTTCTCACTCTTATTTTATTTTCAAAACTTATGATGTCATGTAACTCCAGAGATATTTATGTTTATATGTTGGATTTTTTCTGATCTAAGAGGTTAGTCCTTGGAAACTTTTTGGTACATACAACTAATTTTTTGATAATTTTGTGGATTGGATCCTTTTGCTTAACTACGTCCAATTCAGTTTTAGGATTGTCAAATACCATGTTTTGTATTTATTTTTTACTTCATAGTGTTGGCAAAAAAGTTGATTGACCCATAGACAAAGGTGACGGTTAGCAATATCGATGTGTGTGAGCATGGGATTCCCTTCAGAGGCGTATACGCACAGCTATATGTATGTATATATAGCTCATACGTCGAAGTAAGACCATCAAATTGTGAGACTTAAAAATTACACGTTGTAGTTGCAGTCGTCGTAGTTGTATATTGAGTTTTTCCTGTGTGCCATTTTAAACCTCCACACTCTTATATTTCATTAATATTATTATATTCTGTAATAAAACAAATGTGTGTAATATTATAAATTAACTACCAGACTGATACGGTCTATGATTTTTTACAAATTATCGCGTACATGTATGTTGTAAATTTCTGTTATACAATTATACATATTACTCTGGGCGTTAAACGTAATTAAAATTACATATGTGTATAAATAGAATTTAAATGTTGCTCCCGATCCTTTAGGCGATTGACACACTGCACCGCGCCCCGCGACTAACCGCGGAGCTGCGTTTTTTAACGTTGTATTGAAGTACCTCAGTTTGTATGGAAAACACGCGCCGTCGAACACACTGATAACGCTTCTCCGCGCGGTAGCGCGGCGCACGCGGTTTCACCGCGCCCCCGCGCGGAGGTGCGCGGCGAACCGCAGGGTATGGCACACTGCGTTCCGCACTATCGCACAGATTTTTAATCAATTTATGTCTATTCTAGTCATTGTCGTTCGGATTTTCCCTAACAAACAATCAGTTCACATACGTGTGTAGTTGAAAAATTAAACTTAATTTTTTTTTAAATCTTTGTAATGAAGTTGAATGTTATCTTCGGTGTCTTTTTATTTGAGTAAACAAAAACCAAATAGACAGCATAACTGCAGCATCCTGAATGAGTTCTGTATTATTCTTATATATTCATTATTAATCATTCTTGTCAAAGAAGGATCTCAGCTACATGTAACTGCCTCCGTGGCCGAACGGTTACCATGCCGGACTGCCACACAGAGGTCCCAGGTTCGATTCCCGGGCCGGGAGAAATAGTTGTATGGCCTACAATTATTTCTCTCGTGAGTTTGGGTGTAATTTGTGGTTGTCTATGTGTGTGTCCATGACACCCGCGACACAGGGTTTACCTAGTGCGAGGCTATGTTGAGTGTGTGCATTATTTATTTATTTATTTATGTACAATCACTACAGCGATCAACTACGAAGCGAGTACTTTAAGTGGCGCGGGGCCGCTAGATCGCTGCCCCCCGCAGATTGAACCGCACGTTGACGCAGATCTGCGTCTCCGCCACTTGCACTGGGCGCGTGATTCCGCGTCGCGGGGCGTGGTGCAGTGTGTTAATCGCTTTAGAACTCAGCAGTTTTTGGTATCATTAGGTCAAGTACCGATTTACCAAACGTAAAAATTTACGTTTGGCAAATCGGTTAATCGGTAATGTACCTATATTAATATCATACGTTTGAAACTTATTGTTTCCAGTAGTTCCAGTTTCTTTGGGCTCTTTTGTACTGTGTTTTTTACCAGAGCTGACTCTCGAGCTTTTGAAAACGAAGTACAGGGGAAAGTAGTGGCTTCAAAGGGTCTGTCAAACTACTGGATGCAAACCTTTTAAAAACGCTTTAGTGACTCAAAATTATTAGATAACAGAATAAAGTGTAATAAGAAATCAATTGTGTGTTGGAACACATTCCCTGTCCGTCCAAATGGTTCGAAGTCGCTTCCTGCAACCACAAGTCCATAAAGTCATGAAAGTAGATAAATGCAAAAAGCATAAGACCTACTATGTATTAATTGTACACTTAGTTGCAAATAAATACTTGAATACTTGAATACTTGAATGAAAACTATTCACTTCCACGACAACTTATTTACTAAGATCAACAAAAACGAACACTATAATTCATTGACTTACAATTATATGGACGTCGGGTCCGCGCTAAAAAGTGTCCGCACTTGTAAGGCGCTAAAATCGTATACAGGGCGCGACACTCCGCTTTAGTCTTCATTTGTTCTACGGACAGCGCGATACTGCGATGACATAACAATTAAAATTTCGAATAGGTTGACTTGGGACATTTTTTTCGTGGTTTTTGTATTAGACCCGTCGTCCATTTATTTGTAAGTCAATGCTATAATTACTCAAATGACGAAAATAATACAATTCGTTCAACTTACATGTTTATTTGTAATTGTTGAAAAGTTGAACTTATGGTAATATTTTTGTCCAATTAATTCAACTAAAAAATTAACGTTAATACACAGTTATGGACTATTGCGCCTTTGTTTTATAGAAATATAGCCAGCATTTTAGCACAGTATTCACTGGTATAGTGACTTATAGTGACTATACAAAGTGATAGATAAACAGGCGTTAGCCTATTTCTGTGGTGGACTTGCGAATGTGTTTTTAAACATTGTAAGATGGACTCGGAATGTATGAGAAATTGTACAGATATTATTGAATGATTCATTGAAGCTTTTTTATTGTACCTATCATAATTAGAACTGACGAGAATGGTTCTATTTTGTATTGGCTAGTTCGCTGGAATAAATGTGAAAATATCATTCAAACAAAGTATACGTCTTGATTCAGACAAAAGATGCTTTAAATATTTGCCATTAATTTATTCCGTGAACTAAACAAAAACTTTATTCCAATGGATACGTGTGGTAAACGAAGTCTTATTCTATCTGCTATTAAATTTACACACTTCTTGTAAATAAAACTTTTAAAAATACATGGGTTTATTATTTTTTGTGAAATGAAACGAAATTGTGAATTGAAAATAATGTTTATTAAAGAAACACAAATTAATTGTTAACTACAATGGTTTTAAGGCTAATATATCAATCAGGCTTTATTCTGACTTGTGGAATTGTCTCTGCATACGTGAATTTATAGTATCGACCTACACAAAAGTTAAATTCTCGCAATGAGTGAGTAAAATATTTAATTTTTTGCATTGTAAAATTACAATGGCTCAGTACCACAGATAGTATACAGTAGATGGTAGTTCTCATGAAATTATGAGGGAATGACGAAATCAAAATAAACCAAGAAAAATGGCCAGTTAAACTTACTAATAACTTTGTGTAAGCTTACTGCTACCAATAACTCACCTCAATGTTATTAAAATTAAATCAAATGGTTACCTTTTTTATATTATGCGAGGTAATGATTGTCAAAAATGTAAGTTTCAGAATTTTAAATTAAATCCTTTCGTAGTAGAAACTTTATACATACACATGTTGAATTCCGTCATTTTGAAACGTTTACAGTGCTGCTAGCTTTCGAAAACTTAAAAATGCATTTACCAAAAAATTAAAAATGCGTTCACAAATCGAATGAAGGCAAAAGTATGAAGGAATGGTTTTTTATCTTAGAAAGAAAAGATGGAAAGAAATCCCGTTTCTAAATTTCATTACTACACAAAATTCCCCGTTTTAAAAACTGAACAAGTGTAAACACTTTGTAAATGGCTGAAACGCTAACCGCGAAAAACCAGGAACGAAGAAAAAAAGTTATTTAGCGAGTTTTTACCACAGGGTAGCTTAATTTCGCAGAAACATATTGTATCTGATCGAATGTTTAAAATTTAAAAGATATTTTTGTTAGTTAAATGTGTTGATTTAAAGCACAGAACGCATTGACTTACAATTATATGGACATCGGGTCCGCGCTAAAAAGTGTCCGAACTTATAGGGCGTTAAAATCGTATACAGAGCGTCATTCACGCTTTAGTCTTCGTTTGTTCGACTGACAGCGAAGCAAGCAAAATTAGACAGTACTGCGATGACATTACAATTTAAATTCAACGTTTTAGCTTTTTCATATTCCTTTACATGTCACTACGTTTAAATAGGTTGACTTGGGACATTTTTTTCGTGGTTTTTGTATTAGACCCGTCGTCCATTTATTTGTAAGCCAATGACAGAACGTGTTTGATTAGGTGTGGAACTTGGGATATAGTAAGGGATTTTGGGGACATGTTTATATTATTATTGTTATTTAAATACCATAATCAATATTTCATTTAGGCTTTAGTAACAGTCAAAGTATAATTTGCTATTAAACAATAATTTTACGGTAAGAATCAATTACTTTTCTTATAAATCTGAAGGACAAGAATTTCGAGATTTTGTAAGAATTACCCAGATACGCATGTGAAACAAAACCGTAAGTTACGAAAAAAGCCTATAATATCACACATTTAAGTACAATACACATAATGATATTCATTTAAAGAATATAGCAACAAAATATTGTTAGTCATTTTAAGCAATAACACATTTAATAGATATCTATAGATGTATATGTCTATAATGACAAGAAGAAACATGCTAAACATGCTCTTGAAAATTCGTCAAACCATGATGACTTACAAACTAATAAAAAAATAAAATTATGTGCCAAGACATCCATAATCAATTTCACATCCCATCAAATGTATGCCCTTTTACTGAAATAATTACAAAAATCCAACTATGGACCCAACACGGTGGCGCTAGAGAAACGGACATAAATTTTGGTAACACCGCCCCGTTACGTCTAGTCAATGACCCGTATTTTAGTATACGTCTAGATAATGATCCGGATATTAGTATACGTTTAGACAATGACCCGGATGCCGGTCGCCTTGTACTACTCCACGAATATTTTATTATATGTAGTTGCCTACCTAGCCTAGTGAAATATGGGCCCAACATGGTGGCCGCAGTAACATTTTTGACATAAATTTATAAAACCGTTAAATATTACATTAGTTAGACGTATACGTCTAGACAACCAGGATAGTAGTATCAGATTAGACAATGACCCGGATGCCGGTCGCCTTGAACACGGTTCCGCAAATATTTTATTATAGGCAAAACAAAAGTTGCGGCAAGCACAAGAAAGTCCAACGGAACAGGAAGCTGCGTGAACCTATGCTGCAAGCAACCAAGGTAAAAGTCAGCATCTTATGACTGACCTTATAAACTCATTGATGTAGTACATGCAGAAACAAGAAAACATTGGTACCTAAAATATATACATATTATCAATGTAAATAAGTAGTGGCGTAAGTAGTTAAATAGTCTAAAAATTCAAGCTTTAACAGCGTGTTTTGTCTACGCGAGTATTTTTATACGTCAAGATAAGATCGTCAAGTTTCATAAAGTAAACATTTTCAGCGAAAAACCTATTGAGGCTTGCTTGACCGCCATTCGCATGGAGTGGACGGCGTCGAACAATGGACGAAACCGAATTACGAGATTGAGTGTGCCGAAAGGGAAATTAAATAAATCGACTACAAATCCCTCAACTGAGAAAAACGACGCGGGCTAGGTGGAGGCAGCTGGCATTTACCTATATTACATAATAAACGTGTAGGAGATTTTTTATTGAATTTGCAACTTGTCAGGCTTTAATTAGAAGGATTTTTGTTTAATGTAAGCATTTAAGATAGTAAAAGTACCTTTGATGGATAGAAAAATTGACCCTGCCGCTGTAATTTCCCAACAACCAAGCAGAAATCACTACACAGGAACTGATTGATACAAATAGTAACAAAATACATAATTTTATCGAATCAAATTAATATACAGCTTTCCAATTTGTAATGACAGTTTAATACAATTAATTATAAATGAGAGTGATCAATATAACGAGACGACAACAAAATTGATAAAACTGATAGCGAGCTCAACTTAGAATGGTGTAGCTTGAAGCGTTTTATTTTCTGCACACCAAAACATTTTTTTTTAAAGTGCTTTTATGTTACTTAATAATGATCATCTCATGTGTCTTTGGAGTCTAGTAGCTGCTATTTAGTAGTATAATTATGTAGATTGAAGACTGCTCGGCTGCCTGAAACACTTACAGTTTAGAGCGCAGGTCGGACGTCCCAGCTGCTAATTGTCAGGAGGGATCATCGAATCTGGAACAACAAAACAGTAAATACGTAAAAGCTTAAAGTTGTTAATGGTATTCAAAGCAACAAACAGCCGCACGGACCACCCGCTGGAATAAATTAAATATACAGTAAAGTTCTTAATTTCGCAAAGTGCACAGTTGACCTTGGGATATAGGGTCATAAGTCACTTAATAGCTGTTTTTCACTGACTCACCCCTACCCTGAAATTAGATACACAGCACTGCAGTTAGGAATAGATACACAATGGACCGTACAAGTTTGTGCCTTATAAATAGCCACTGATTCCCGTTGGTCAGATTGGTGGTTAGACTGGCCTGGCCAACGACAATAATATTGTCATGACGAGTTTTTGCTATTATCTTACGGCAAAAAAAATATGTTTGCTCATCGATATTTATAAATTATCAACACCCCTCTCCCTTTCAAAAAGTAAATAAGATCTTAAGCTTCTTCTCAGTAAGGCTCAACGGAATAAACCGATTTTTTCTAACGTAATTTTAGTATTCTGATACTAAAAAAACCAACCACAAAAGTTCGTGGAATTACATGTATTTACCAAGTTTTAGTAAAATCGGTTACGGGAAAGTGCGCGAAACCGGATTCATCTCCTAGTTTGCCACCATTAGACGTGGAATATTTTGTTCAAATTTAAATGGGACCTATACTGATGTACCCTCTTTCCAACAAAAAAAAGAATCATCAATATCGGTTCACAAATTTTATGAGTTATCGCGTAGCACACATACCAAAAAAAATACAGTTGAATTGAGAACCTCCCCCTTTTTTTGTAATAATTGTAAAATGGAAGCAGCGGGAATTCCCATGATTGTGCAAGAATTCTCCGGAAAATGCGCGAGCTGTTTTTTGGCTCGTATCTAGTTTGTACGTCACACTATTGACATAAAGTTAATTAAATTATGGTTACAAAAATTCACAATATCAATTGAGCCGTAGATTAAAATTTGTATAAAGCCGGCGGAAAAAACATGGCTTCATTTCAAATATTTTTTTTGCGCCCAGGGGCCTGATTCTCGCTTGATAGACATAAAAGTCGACGTTGGCATATGTCGAAAAATCGACAATAAGTCGAGCGCCCGTATTCTCACGACTTCTCAAAAGACTTTTGTCTATCATCATTTTTGACTCGACAATTTCGTTACATGACGACATGTTAATGTCGTCTAGTGAACATCACTCGACACGCATTCGGCTTAGCAATCGACTTGTATTTTGACAGACTAATTCGTGGTTTCTTGTGTTTAATTCAGTGCAAATTTTGTCGTTTATTACATATGTAAATTTCATTTAATTTTGTTGGTACCTAATATTTCAAATTGAACAGTGACTGAAGATAGTTAATAGGTAAGTAAACTGTCAGTTGTGTCTGACTATAAGTGTCAGTTTCATATTTATTTTTTTCCATCCTCTAAGGTTTCATATCAACCACCTCTCAATATATCAGATTACTGATATTGATTATTGCATTAGCAATGCTGCCAACATGGTTCACTCAAAAAATTTCCGTACGCTCGACATTTGTCTAAAGTGTGTGAGAATTGAAATTTTGAAGTCGATCGGCACTTTTAGACTTTCGTGTTAATCGACAAAAGTCGAAATAATAAAAATCTGATATTCACGCCACACGTGTGCCATCATGTATCTTAACGAGTCAAGATAGTTCGTAATAGCGCGCACCTAAATTCAAATGTATATTTTTTCAGCACAACATATTATTGACTTTATTACCTTATATTCATAGCGTTAGAGTTTCCGGGCTCCAGCTTGTAGCCCAGTGTTTCGTAGAACTTGACCAATTTGTCCTTGCAGTCTAGAGACATCTTATAGCAACCCAATTCGCGCGCTAGTAGTGACACTGTCACCACGATTCTGGAATTTATAATCACATTACATAGGGCCGAAAAATGACGACGTGTTTATGACAATCTAGGTTATATATTGTACAATCAAAAGCACATCAAGCTTGGCCCTTTAGATCGTTCTTGTAGGAAGCAAATAGAGCTGCATTTAAATCTTAAATGTCAAAGTTGAAGTGTCTTTGATCCTGTATAAGATGTAGTAGTTATTCGAAGTTACTGTAAAACTCGAATGAGTTCGAATCACGGACTTAAGAAAAAAAAGAGTACATGTAAAAGATTTTTTAGTAATAATAATATTTATTTGTTTCAGATACCGTCTACATCAGTGTTCAAGCATTTACTGTACATTAGGCAATAATAAGGTATATAATGTACATCATGCATACATGACAGTACACAATGGATACGCTATTTTAATTCAAATTTAACGAATACTTTTACTTACAATTTGCCTAATTGTTTTCCTCTATAAGTATCATTGACCACTACATCTTCGAGACGTCCACGCTAAAATGAGAAAATTACATCAATTTACTATTAATCATGAAATCCTACTCATTCTCCCTTTTTTTGTTTTTATTTTTCTTTTTTTTTTTATTTGTACTCTTAAGAGCACATGAAACTTGAAACTTGTATTCTTTTTATCGTAAGCAGCATACAGTTTAATCTTAAATGTCAAGTTTGAGGTGCTCTTTTAACCTGTTAACGGCGGACACTAAAATTGTGAGTATGTATGCTAATAAGTAAACATACCAAGGAGCAGTTATGAATGAACTTCAGTTCAACAGTCAAAGTAGCAGCGCCAATAATCTTGGCCGTACGCGTATCTTCAATAACAGTTATATAGTAGCCACCCGCCTGCTTCATAGATGTGAACCGTTCTGTGAACAAAGCAGAAAGTTTTATGTTTTTTTTTTACCTGCTTGGGTTGCCACTCTCTACCCTGTCTTACTCAAAATGTAATCAAGTTTTACGATTCTATTTGTAAAGGTAATTCTATTTGGCATCCTTTGGGTGTTCCAACGTGTCCATGTTCGAATTTTTGAAAATTAATTAGTAAAGGTAAAAGTCGTCATTTAGTCGGTACTAGTCGCAAAAAACTAGATTTAGGCGGTCCGCTCCGTTTCAATATTAAAGGTGTTGTACTGTCCACGTTTATCCAGCGATACCTGTGCGACAATCTCGAGAACCACAGCACCTAGCTTAGATCTGATTGCACTAGAAGGTCGTTTGTTAGTCGGTTCTAATCGTAAAAAACTAAATTTAGTTGTTACGCCGATTTAAGGTTATAACGACATTTTACTGTCCACTTTGGTGTAAAAAAATATATAAGCTTATTCCAGCAGCACCATTTTTCAATAATCAGATTGATGTAGCACTCAAAAAAAGTCGTGAATTAGTAGGTTCCGGACGCAGAATTTTAGAACAAATAGCTGCTTTTTTGGAGAAGATACAACAGATTTATTATCTCAAGGTTATACCTGTGTTAGTCTGGGAGCTTTTATAAACATCAATTATTATTTTGTAGAGTGCACATCTAATTTTATTGGATTTTTTAAATATTTATAATTTTATTTTAGATCTGTTTTAATTTATCGGAGATAAAGGTCAAATTGTATTAATTAAATTGATACAAAATGCATGGTTCGAAATAATAGAGTACACAAATAGCAAGGTCATTGAGCAGCCGCGCCCGGTTTATATACCGTCTCGTCGCCCCAGTCCGCCGGCAACTGCAAAGGCCAAGTTCTAAAGGTCAACTATACTTATTCGACATTCATTAGGAACTAGTTCTACTTGTTCCTGGTCATACTTCCGTCTTTAAGCGATTTATTAAACGCGAAATTTTACAAATTTTATGCATGGTTAAGTTAGTTAACCATTATTTTAATTTTCCAACTGAAAACAAGTTGAGAAATATTATTGCTAACATCTTAATTATGACTTACTAATGAAGTAGGAATTGTTAAATTTATAAAATCTCTTAATTAGTAATTAAAAAGTAATTTAACTTCAATTTACTTGACACTTTTTGAATGTTTGGAATTGGCCATAAAGCAGTAAATATTCTTGTATGGTGGGGTTTTTAATTATTCATAATTGTAAAAAAATCAAGAATTTAATAACAGATAGCACATTATGTAGACTAAAAGTAAATAATAATAATAATGTAAATGAAATTGTTTATCAGATTAATAGTCTACATTCTTTACTTTTTCTTTTCGACTCATTCTGCTTCAGTGACTTCATTGTGAACTAAAGCAATTTAGAAGGATGTATTCTAAACTTAACATTATTTTTCAATGTGACATTAGTAGCTAGACAGCTTGGTATCTCAAAAAATGTAAAATTGTAAAAAGTGTGTAATGTAAAATTTTTATTTACAGAATCCACTTAATTGAATTTTTATTTAATATATCACATTCAATAAATTTAGAAAGATTCATAAAAATTACCATCAAATTGCTTCCTAGTGATACTGCCAACATTCGTTAGCTGGCTTAGGAGTTGTACGAAACCTTTGTCATAGTCAGCCCGTTGCAAAGGCCTTACAACCATCCAGTCCTCACCGGGCTGAGCAGCACTGATCTTGGGCTTGAAAATTGCTGGGCTCTGACTAAAATCCAATCTTTGAAGAATCCCTGCTGGATATAGACTCTCAGACTCATCATCCTGAAAATAATATTACGAACATCAACACTGCATACAAGATGTAGCGTGTGCTATGACTAGGATATTGCTCTGCCCTCCTACTTTCATATAATATGTTGTTGCAGTCAAAATATCACACATTCTCATTATTGATTTTTCAGAAAGGAATTTTGGCTGTTTGCTATAAATTCACCTATTTTAGAGGACACCCTTGCGCAGCTGTGGAAAGCTGATTTGGATGATTATAAAAGAACAGCAATTTTGTACATTTATTTCTTAAAGTACCTATTTTACGTACATAAAAATTATTTATTGTGGTGTACCCAATGATTGATTGTTGACTGTCTTCAATGTAATTATTCCATACTAAACATTTATGCCCAAGTCAACCTACATCTATGAAACATCTGACTTTGATTCTGACTTTTTTACGACTTACGAGAGGGCCTGAACATAACTTTATTTAAAAAATATATATGGATACACATTAAAAACTCTGAAACTAATGTTTTATTAAATGTCGAAACTACCAGGATAAAATTAAATAAAAAAAATCTAATTTATAGAAAATTTATGTTCAATAAAATACCTTCAAGTAATTTTTCATTTCCATACCCATTTCGGAGAGTAACCCTCTTCTGGTCAGCTGTCGTTCACTACATTATTACATTATATTCGATTTTATTAATTTGATAAAGTGATTAAATCATTTGTAATCTATCATTATCTTATGCACATAGACTGAATAGAATATTATCTACATTAGTGTGATTTTTATAAATGGTAAGTAATAATATCTAGTTGGTAATTGATACCAGTGATTATACTTCATAATAGCAAATTAAATGAGATGTTTAATATTACTATTATATGTTTTTTTTTGCTATATAAGGTGACCCTTAAAGCTGTCGCAAATGTTATGGCAATTATATCAATATTTTTTCCGTGTTTATTATGTGTTCAATGAAACTATTCCATAGGTACTAAAGATTTATTTTACGCCTCAACTCAACCCAAATGTATGAAACATTTGATTTTTTCTGCGACTTCCAAGAGGGCATCAAGGCACGAGGTGGTGATGGATAAAACCACCCCTTAAAAATCAGCCTGATATGCCTGAACATAATTTCAATATTTTTAATATAAATAAAAGATACACATTTAGAACTCTGAAAATAATTTTTATTAAATATCAAAACTACCAGGATAAAATTGCAACAAATTTGAATTTATATAAAATTTATTTTCAATGAAATACCTTCAAGTAATTCTTCATTTCCATGCCCATTTCGGAAAGTAACTCCTCTTGTCGACAGTCGTACACTACATTATAGATCACAACCAATTATGTGGCGAATAAACACATCAGCCACTCGACAATGTGTAAAATACGTGGCTAAATAGTAAATTTTTCGTCGTAAACGAAAAAGAAAGTAAAAGTAAACTATCATTTAATAACCGGCTCAATGTCAACTAGTACAGTGTTGCCATGTCCAAAATCTGGCCGACGGTGTTTCTTCTGCTTGTAAAATATGGTAGATCCTAAGAAATTACGGTAATTGGGCCAGGAAAAAAAAACAGTGTAATTATGGTATTATATAACGCACACACACACACACACACTCAACATAGCCCCGCACTAGGGAAACCCTGTGTCGCGGGTGCCATCGACATACGCATAGACAATCACAAATTACACCCAAACTCACGAGAGAAGTAAATGTAGGCCATACACATATTTTCCCCCGCCCGGGAATCGAACCTAGGAACTCTGCGTGGCAGTCCGGCATGGTAACCGTTCGGCCACGGAGGCAGTTAATATGTAATATACTTTCAAAAGTAACTTAACTTTGTAATAATAATCTTTTAAGAAAGTGAATTAATTACCTTACTTTATCATAAACTTAAGTAAATATTAGTAAAAAAACCATTTTGGTGCATATTTTACTTTTTACTACTTACAAAGGAAAATTAGAATAAAAATTATAATAAGAAAAATATAAAAAAATAAATCTGAACATTTCGAAAAATGAGGATAGGAATACCTTAGTAAAAATTTGTCTAAATCTGATCATTTTTATGAAACAACAATTATCAAATACAATCTCTTAATTTTTATAAATATTTGATTTAATCTTTTCAACATTTCCTCGTCAGGCTTATAATTGACGCATATTTGCCTATGCCTTTGGATAGACTGCTGCATCAAAAATCCCATCCTTAAAGGGGGCGGGTTATTATTAATTTACTACAAAAAATCCAGCTCCTGCAGATTACGGTAGATTTTGTCACCGTTGTCATTTGTCTACGGTAGGTGGCAAATTTATTCTGAGTACGGTGCATTTACCGTAATTACGGTGCACATGGCAACACTGACTAGTAATTATTTTTCTCATAAAAACTACATAGATGATTTATAAAAGTGACTAAAAAAGTGTTCGGATTGGTATAGTGCTATCACTTTTTTCTCAGTCGCATTAACATCTTAGATAACAAAAAATATGTTCGTAATCGATATTTACAATCTGTATTGTATTTAATCGGTCGCTATTTTGCCATGGACGGAATATATTATAGAATTATTTTGCGACGATGGTTTTGTGTTTTGGAAATTTTATTGCATTACATACTACCTTTTTTTAAATTTTATTTGCACGTGCGTATGAACATACATACATTCGTAACAATCCTACATTGATTGTAACATTGTAACAATCCTCCAATGTTGTTCAAAACCTTTGAAAATGTCAATCTAATACATCCCTAATTTATATGCTTTATGCTCGAAATCTGTCAAATTTAATTTGTCACTGTCAAATTTCGATTTTACAGATAAGAAACAAAGTTTAAATTGAATTGTTTTATAATATTGAGCGACTCTACTGTCAGCTGATTGACATTTGTAGATTTTAAGGGTTATATTTTCATATTTTATAACGTAAAACTAACAAATAAAGGTGTTAAAATGACATATATATTGGATTCAAATAATCGTGTTTGTCATTAAAAGTAATGATATTTACTATGGCATTAATTAAAACTCGTCTAAGTTCGACATTAATACTACAATCGCGTCAATACTCATTTTTAAGTCGAAAATTAGATAAAACTGTGCAATTTAAATGTGTTTACCCTGTGCAAAGTATTCAGCAGCGATGGTTATTTTGGGAGAGTGACAGAAAAGGTGGATATGATACAACGCATCAAGTTTCTATTTTTCAACATTTGAAGCATGGTTTCAAAGAACTAAAGGGAGAGTGTAAACTATGGCTGCATGAAGTAAAAGAGTTGATTGAAACTGATCCGCTACTAATAGCTAGACCAGGTAAAATTGATCTACAACGAATTTATTATGTATTGTTTAGCTGAGAGAAAAGTGTATGGTGTAGTTGCTGGACAAACCTACTGTTAATCATGTTTCAGGCACCAAAATGTTTAATTGTGCAGGTAGTTTACAAATTATGGCACAAAATACTATTGCACACATGATCAGAGGATTGTGGCCTTGTATAATATTTATCCCAGGGCCTCCTGTTGATAAAGCAAGTATCGTTTAGAAATTCCAGTGCATGATGGGCTTATAGTAAAAGCTTAATGTATTCTGAATTCACTGCCTTAGATCATCCACAATATGGTAGACCAACTACTTCGGGCTTGTAATACTAATTTGTAAAGTGAATAAAAAATATACTTAGCTATTCTTTATGTAATGTATAAAAATATTTACTAGATATACAATATTAAAGTACTGGCTGTACATCCACATGATGAGGTACTGTGTCTGCTTAACTTGCTATTTCAACTGTCTTGTCTAAAGAAATGCTACATTAGACAATATATCATGTACTCAAAAGACTGACAGTTAGGTACATACAGCTAATATTTAATGGACTGTCTGGTAAACCCAAGGGCTCGCAGCTACCATGCCGAACACATTAGCGTAGCCATGCAAAGGGGGAACGCTGCCAGCATCTTGGGCACCTTGCCATGGGGACCCAATTTTATTCATATAATTTAATCCTAGTTTTACTTTTTAGTATCTCAGCTTTTATTATACCTTATCTGTATATTTATGAAAATAAATAAAGATTAATGTATATTCTAATTTTTCGTGGCTGGAACATGTAATATACATAGAAATACCTATGACATTTTAGTTGGACTTTCTAAGATATAAGACTACGCGTAGACTTGTGTTCCACCCCTATATTGTGGATATTCCAAGGATTCGCACGAAGCGTTACGCTTCCACATTTATATGCAAACGGCTATGGAGTGGAATTCCCTGCCTGCAGACATGTTCCCTGTACGTTATAACTTGGACCTTTTCAAGGCGAGAGTGAATAGGCATTATTTAGGTGTGCATGCTCCATCGTCAACCTCACCGTCACTTTCCATTAGGTGAGATGGAGGTCAAATGCGCACCTATATTTTATAAAAAAATAAAAATAAAAAAAAAGACATCCAATAACTGTCTTCAAAGGTGTAGATAAAACATTTCTTTTGTCCATAAAAGGTGGTACCCTACATAGGTTGGTACAACTACCTTTCAAATACGTTAAGAACATCCCTTGATCTTTTTAACACTATAATAGTCTGGAAACTACATTAACCCAGAGTTTGCACGTAACCAGTATTGCTAATTGTTCAAAATCCCCAAAAATCATTGTTAAAATCCCCAAATTTGAAGAGAACAAAGTTCATATTCTCCACAAATTCCTCACATCTCGAGTTTTCATTATTTATTACAAATATATCGCTTAAAAATAATTTAAAAAGAATTAAGACACTTAAAATGTAATCATCTATTACATTTGCTCTGAATGTAAACAGAATGTAAAATATAAGGCAAATTATTAAATTAGATGACCTTAAATTGTTTATATATTTTAATGAGATTCAACATTAATCAAACTTTGAAAAAAAAAATTAAAAATAAAACATTTTTGTTTGTCTCACAAAATTAAGTAACTTAATTATTTTGTTGCGCATTTGGTGACACTATGGTTAATGTTAAAAAATATCAATGAGTAAACTAAGTTTCGATCTATTTTTAATATTTAAAGTTGATGGGTGCCAAGTGGTAAGTTGTGGTGTGGAAGTACCAACTGCTCGGCTTTGTTTATCAATAGCTGATTTCATTTTTCTTCATACCGGGGACGGGCCTAACTGGGAGAAAGGATCGCGAACTCAACACGCACCTACTGGTAATTTTACAAGGGTAGTATTTAACCGCTTACCAAAAGAGCAAGTTCTTTCACAACCAAATATGCCAATTCCCGAACAAAAGTACTGATTGCACATCAAAATATGTACTCAAAAGAAAATTAATGTAGCATTATGTACTAAAATTAAAGCATAACATTTTATCACAATGCATATCTAACATCTAAATACATAGGTATCTAATATTTCTAGCATACAACAAACGTATGACCACTTTATGAGAAAAAACATACCTATTTCACTGAAAGGTACATCAGTCTATCGGAATGAAACACCATTTTATATGACATAATGGTCTAATTTGTCCAAAACAATAAGATTAACAAAAAAAAATTAAAAAATAAATTCTTTCCAAAAATTATTTAATCTTGCATTAATAACTAGGTCTTATTATTTTACGTAATGTTTACGTAAAATTACTAAAGATGAAACGTAATTCTAATACGCGTAAATGTAAATGAGTCTATAGAAAAGTGTGTCCTGTCTATTAAATCGATTTGAAATCGTGATGAGCATCTGCATCAAATCGATTTAGTGGCATCACTATTGACAGCTGGGTGGTTGGAAACAGGAAAAAAAAATAAAAATTGTATTCAAAAATATCCGTTGAAATCGTTGCACCGAATTTATTTTGGTATTTTATTTGTTTGTGAACTAAAATAGTGATAAGTTGTGGTTTTAAGTATTGGAAGCAACTTTAACTGAGTTTACTGTCTATAGAATCAACACTCACGACGAATGTTTTCGACTAGCAACAGTGCTGAATCTCCATCCGTTCAGAACGAGAAAAACAATCTCAAGAGCATTTACTACAAGTTTACCAGTCTTTTAGGACGGGGAACTGACAATAGCGCTCGAAGTAATAAGGAAGTAATGTTATCTGCCAGAGAAACTGTCCCCTCCGACGGCAGCTACTCGACTCCAGTTTCATCGATGGCTGATCTTCTAACCATATCGCCGAAAGTAAAAAATCATGACGAACACCCCGACAGGACTAATGATCTACTCACTGGATCGGACTTTGATAGCATTTGCGATATTACTATGAACGAGGTGCCTATTTCTGATGACATGTATATTGATGCCACCAGCTTAGACTACCTCGTGAAGTGCGCTGAATCTAATCGCAATCGTAACGTTATGGATAGAGGCAAGGAGAGTTTGTTCGTCAAGTTTGATCCTCTATATGCTAAGCAGCAGCATGGCTCTGTAGCCAGTGAACAGTCACCAGATTCACCCGAATGTGATGTTGGCTATGATACTGGTAGCTCTGCATCTGTTCTTACTGACAGTCACATCATCTCGCCTAAGTATGCATTGTCTTCTGGATCAATACAGTCCGCAGGGATCAGGGATAAGCCTATGCAGGTGGTGCCACCTGTGGTGAGTGATCTTCTCTCAAAGACGTGTGTTGCTCAGGAGAGACCCACTCGTGTATTGACACGGAGTGTGTCTGCAATCTTATCCCCTACACAAGTAGCTACTGACAGGTTAATCAGCTTCACTGGTAACACTCCTCCGGTAGCAGCTCCTCGCAGCCCTCATTATCATAACTCCACTATGCATGCTGACCGTGTACATTCACTGAGAACTATTTTACACAAGCAAGACCAGGAAATACTGCAACTGTCCCAAGAAAACAAGCATTTGAAGTCTGCTTTACAAGATTCAGAATACAAATACACACACAGAATAGATGATTTAGAATCCAAAGTAAAAAAGCTTTCCGATGAGAGGGACACCCTTTTGGAAAGGGAGAATAAGTTGCTTCAGCAAGTTAATGACAAAATCATGAGCAATAAGCAAATGAGCATTGTCATGGAGGAGTACGAAAAAACTATTTCTTCATTAATTGGAGAGCAGCAGAGAGAAAAAATCCAGTTTCACGAGATTGAAGAGAGACTTACTAATGAAAGAGATCAAACTTTGAATCATTTGTCAAGCATGGAAAGTTCATTCAATGATCTACTTTCAAAATACGAAAAATGTAAGTCTGTGATACTGGAAGTTAAGGACAGAGAAAAGATCTTTGAACAAAAATTAATAGACTATGAAAATGGAATGAATAAATATGAGTCACTTTATAATGAAATCAAAAGAGTGACCACTGAAGCTCTGAACAAAGCAAATGAGACTCTGGAAAACACAAGTAAAAATCATAATGTTGAAATAATGAAACTGAATGCAACCATCAAAAAGCATGAAATTACAATTTCTTCATTGCAAGAGTCTCTTGCTCAAAAGACTAGGGACAATGAAGAGTTGACGAGAATATGTGACCAGCTCATCAATGAAGTCCGTTAATGCTTGCTGTTTACAATTTATTAAAATGTAATATTTGCATATTGGTGCTCCTTTTGTAGACATTGTTTTTTTTTTTGCTTTTCAGTGTGTAAAATTCTTGCTGTGATGAATCTCAACTTTTAATTAAAAATTTATTCTAATCTTGTTGGTATTACATATTATTTACTTTTTAGATGACATAATTGACTTTACTTCTATGGAAACTCTTGTGAATAGTATCTTAGGACATTGTAATTTTTTTTCAATATCTTTTTCATTTGTGACTATGAATATAGATAAACAAACTTTGCAATTAACTAATTATGTGATAAAGAGCCTTAAAATGTTGTGTCAATAAAATGTCTTGAACATTTTTGTGTGTCTGTTTGTATTTATTTTTAAATTAGTTAAGTAAGCTAATAGTTAAATTCATTTAATTTATAATTTGGCAGCTCATAATTTATAAGTTTATTTAAACGAAATAATTGTTTACGTCGTAATAATTGTTTGCGTCGTAATTAATTTTTATTTTGACCCTGCGTAATTAACAACGACAATAAGCTTTAGGTATATTTTTAGTTATTAAATTTTTAACTGGTTTCATCAGACATTTTTCTACCATATTTTCTACATTTTTAATAACCCTTATGTGTTATGATAATACACAGCTTTTCAAATAAAAATATTGTAAAATAGCAATTGTTTCTTTTCAGTTACCTACATACTAAGTTCCTTGCGTCAGGACGTCTTCTACCTCTTTACATCGTCAATGTTGTTTAATCCAATTGCGAATATAGTATGTTACAAAATGCAGGTTTAGCGATACTCGCCAGCACAGCGATATACGCTGCCCATTTTTTAGGATTTGTTAGTGGGTCGACACCCCTGAATAAAGAATTACGACTCTCGTCAGAACGTTAGTTGAGGGAATTGCGTTATCCTGTTTGATTCGTTTTCATTGATAATTGATGAAGCATTTATTTCCAGGTGAAACAGATCTAATTTGGTGCTTTAACGACCAAAATATCCTGGACCAATTTATAACGACTGCAGATAGCGACCATAACCAGGGTTACAGCTCCTGCAAGTTGGAAATGAGCAGTGCTGGCCGCGCGCGTTTCTATGGACAATTGGACACTAGGGTACCGAAGGATGGACGCATCAAGAAAGCTGGATATTGCGCTATGAGATCGAAGAGGATTCGGGCAAGTAAAAATAGTAATTAGTTGCTGGATAACACACTTCATTATTGAAGTAAATCCCGACGACGTTTAAATTTAGAATCAAGCATTTATTTCAATTATTGACGATATAAAACTAATGTCAAAGGCGACGGGTATTGCCACAGAAATAGATCTAGAATATTGACTTCAGATATGTTCGCTACTCTACGTCTAATTATCCTACTACGGGGAACTTCTTTGTTTGAGGCAGGCACCTAATGTTTGCAACAAGCATGTTTGCAGTTTTTACGCAGAACATACACCGTAATTTCACTTAGAAACGCAGTCAAATCACCTTGTAAACTTTCATGAGTCTTTTTCAGATAACCTTATTTAATATGATATTTATTTATTTAATATGATTGCTTGCTTACTTAGTCTGTGTTACACATAAAAAGACTATTTTACTACGTCACAGTAATAAATAAAAATTAAAAATTAAAAAAAGTGGGCAATTTCTCATTCATGGGAGCCGATTCCACGTCGCCCTAATTTTAAGAAATAAAGAAAAAATTAAACACTCGTGGAAGTCGCAATATTTCCCATCGAAGATAAACTCTAAAAACTTACACGTCGAATACATAACGTTCCTATTTATTATAAATAAACATGTTTTCTTGGGAATAGGTACAAAATGTGTTTCAATTTATCTTATCATTAGTGTCAATTCAACTAAAAGCCTCCTAATAACAAAAGTTCATACCGCATCACCTTCACCCTTCGCACACGTGAGAAGGGGCTCCTGTCGGATTGGAGTGTACACAGTGGAGTAACTTGTGCATCTCCGTTTTAGCAAAAAATGGACTTAAATACCAATTTCAGCGCTAGTGACTAAATCGTTCCCATTCATATAAAGCAATCTATCTAAATAAGTATTAAGTAATAATTTTATAAACTTTATTGTACATCAATTAGACAAAGGGAACATTAAAATCCATGCACTTTTATAACGGTCCAGCATAATTTACACACTTGACAATAAAAAATGTATCCAAATATCATTATTGTCGCTCTCATTCTTGTCTACTTTTAAGTCAAATAGTTACTTTAAGCCAATCACTTACTTGAAATATAACAATTAGATGGTGGTAGTGGTGGTGATGACGAAAATGATGGTGGTGGTGCTGACGATGATGATTGTAATGATGATGTGAATGGTAATGATGCAGATGACAATGGTGATCATGATGATGATGTTAATGGTGGTGATGATGATATATTAATGTACAACAAAGTTTATGTGACATTAACAAAACACTTTCTTAGATTTATTTATTAATGACATATAGATAGATAGATGGTCTGACACGGATGAGAAGGATTTTGGTACAAGTTATATTAAAATGTTTGCTACATGTTAAATGTTCTTTTGTAGACGATAAAATGTGTGTTATAGTAACAATTTATCATATTGTGCCGTCTTTCTCATTTATGTTTATGAGAAAATCATTCGTGTTACTGCAATCTCATTCTTGTGACCTAAAATATCGTTTTTTTTTTGTATTGAATTTAAATATTTCTGTGATTTTATAGTTACTGACATTGCTTGAACTTATTTTTACGTTCAAGGCCTTAAAACCAAAAGAAAAAAGGGTTTTACAAAAATCACTCAAAAAGTGCCATTGAAATTCGGAAAGTGAAATTCACCCTCATCCTTATAGATAGTACAATTACTTACTTGTGGGTGTGTAAATTCATGATTATATTAACTTATAATCCTTCCTTACATTACACACTATTATATATTGTAAAATCTTCTGTTTTATAATTTTTTGGTAAAATAAATTTACTATTAAATATGCCTTATTTGATTACAGTACGTAGTGAATAAGTTAAAATAAACTTTTCTGACGTATTTAACTCAAGGCGTTACGGCCTGAACAAAAATAAATCTCACTTTGGATAATTTTCTCATAATTTATAATATAAATATTTTTTATTTATATTATAAATTATTATAAATTATATTTTTTATTTATATTTATAATATAATATAAAATATGTACAGGTACATATTTTTTTTTATTTCGGTCCGATCCTGTATCAATAGTCAACATAATTTTGGTACTGTTACGTGAGGCGTACTATAAGTTTCCGGAACAAATAAGAAAAAAATACTAAAAATGGTCCGAAATGAATATTCTCCGTTAGCGTTAATGCACTTTTTCATACGAATGAACCAATTTTGAAAACATTTATGTCACTCCTCCGTGACAATCTCTGAAACATATTTTTCATACTCTTCAGGTGATGAAAATCGTTGACCGCGTAACTGGTTCTTAATTTTTGGAAATAAATAAAAGTCACAAGATGCCAGGTCGGAACTGTACGCGGGATGGCTCATAAGATCAACGTTATTCACCTTCAAAAATTAATTTGTCTGTCTGGCCGTGTGAGAACTGGCATTATCGTGGTGCAAGATGGTACGGCGTTTACGGTTATTTTTACGGAGTTGGTTAATAACTTCCGGCAAACAAATGGTCGTGTACCAATCACTATTCACGGTACAACGATTCTCCAAAGCAACAGTAGCCACGTGTCCAGTTTTATTTAAAAAAGAAGCCATCATCCGCTTAGAGCCACTTTGCACGCGCGCCACTTTGGTTGGTTTCGGCTCATCTCGAAAGACCCATACGCTCGATTGCTGCTTTGTTTTGGGATCGTAACTATAAAGCCATGTTTCGTCACCTATTACTATGTGCCACACCAAATTTGACGCCCCTTCGTTGAATCTGGTAAGCTTGGCATTGCACCAAGTGACGCGATCCGTTTTTTGAGCCTCAGTCAAATTGTGTGGGATCCACCGAGAGCACAGCTTTTTCACACCCAAATGTTTGTGTAGTATTGATTGTGTTTGACTTATGTCTATGCCTAAAGATGCCCGAATCTCAAGATATGTCACATGCCCGTCTGTTTTGATCGTACGGCACACAGCATCGATGTTTTTGTTGTTCACAGCACTGGACGGGCGACCATCACGAAATTTGTCACTGAGATTCACACGACCGCGTTTGAATTCTGCGAACCAGCTAGAAATAGTCTTCTTGCATGGTGCTTCATCGCCAAAATCAGTTTGAAGCCGTGGGATGCTCCGCTGAGCTGTTGAATTACACTTAAAGTCGTAGAAAATCATAATTCGAAAATTTTCACGAGTTAAATCCATGGTGATGTAGACAACCAATTTCTAAAATGACGCTATAATGTAAAAACAAGTGACAGTCAGATAAAACTAACTGTATTCTACAGCCAAAGAGTTCCATTTTCAAATGTTGTAATTACATTTAAATATTGTTTATGTAAGTGACCAGATCCGGAAACTTATAGTGCGCCCTATGTAAGAGATATCAAAAAGCCTTAAACTGATATAGAAAGTACCTAATGAACGTTAATGTCGATTTACATCAATATCATTATATAAATAAAACTAGAAATATCCAAAATACGCCTATAATATAATACGCAATAAATATAATGGCATAGTTGATTATTTGCTCAAGTGTGAGTTGTCCATAAAAATTAATAAAATTGATCAAATTTTTTTATTGCTGATAGACTCAGTTTCATGTGAGGATCATTTCATTGTATGAGACGAAAAAAAACATATATTAAATTTGACCTTTTTTTTAATGCTGATAGACTCAGTTTCTTTTAAAGATGATTTAATTGTAAGGCACAAAAAAATTGGTACAGCAGAAGTTGATCAAATTTAATAAAAAGATTTGTCACCTACTGTATAAATAGTTTATGGTATGGTTCATGTAACATAAATAAGATCTCTGAATCTAATTGCTATGTTATGACATCATAATATTAGTTTACTTTAAAATCAATTAGGTAAGTCAAAGGCGCACTATCAAAGAATACTCTCACACACATAATAATTGCTAATACTTATATTCTCTTTTTCAGAAATCTTTCAAACGTGAGTGTACTTTTAACTGGAATCTTTACAACACGCTGGTACTGAAAGTGCGCGGGGACGGTCGGTCTTATTTGCTAAACATATCCTGTGAAGGATACTACGATATCACTTGGAATGATATTTATCATTATGTGTTGTATACTAGAGGAGGACCTTACTGGCAGATTGCGAAGGTATAATAGACTGTTACCCTAAGTCAATGCTGTTACCTATACTTATTTCATTTAGGTGCAACCGTCTTCCATCTGTGTACAGAACTCTCTTTTTCTTGTCTGTATTGTACGCTGACAAACGTCAACATAGTAGAGCGCGCTTTCAAACTTATTAAAAATATTTAAAAAAATTACCCTTCAAGATGTTCTTTGAATTCGTTATCAGGGGGTCTACTCTCGATCTCCGTCCGACATCCGTCCGAAACAATTACTGCCAAATAAGCATAATTGACCAAATGAAAAGACGCGTGATGCGAATGAAGCTTCATACTGGATACTTGTCGTTTATTTTGTCGAATATTACTAATTTGACAGTAATTGTTTCGGACGGATGTCGAACGGAGAGTGAGAGTAGACCCCCTGGTTACAATCAAAAATGTCCCTTGTGTTCATCTTTAGTTCATGGAATTAGTGTTTATTTTTTATATTTTAAACCAATCTGTATCGTTTTTCCCACCCCAATGTGCATTGGTAACTTCATAAAAAGCTTTTAAGTGTAAATTAATTAAATTTAGCGTTACTTTCTTTTAATATTACACGCTATAGCAACCTACTGTAAATATAATTTAAGAAGATATTCCTCATAAAGTGTTTTTTCTTTTGAACATGTTTCTAATTCTTTACAAATATCACTTGATATTACCATAAAGGAACAAATCGTAAAACTGTCGGATAAGCCTCTAAAATGACTACATTACCTGACACCTGGCACTACTTAAAACAGAAGACCTTAGAGGATGGGAAAAAAGTAACAGTTAGCAGCCAATTGTTTTGTAATCTGAGGTTAGCAGAATACATACCTACTTAACTATACTAGTACATGCTGTATGTTTTCTGAATTTCTTAGTAGACGTTAAAATTAGAATGCATCATATTTGTCTGATGTAAATCTTAATATAGCTCACAAAGATTTCCTCCACACGGGAACACCTAATTCTCCAAAAATAAACATTGCTGGTTCCAGATTCCATTCTCGAAGTTTATTTTGGGCTCAAAGGGACGCGTGCAGGATAAACAGAACAGGATGCGATTAGATCGTGTCACGCACTTTGGTATCTCCTGTGGCGATAAAATTGAAGGCCCTTTTGATTTAGAAATTGAATATGTTGGTAAGTTAACTTATGCCAATTCCGTATCTGTATCACATCTATTGAATTACACGCAAGGGCAAGTTTAGAGAAACATAAAAAACGTCTGTTTTGGCCATATACCGGGTGGAAATTTGTAATGCCACCTGGAGGGAAAGTACTCTAAATACTGGAGATAGAATTTTTTTCTTAAAGGAAACATTCCTTTATTTTTTAAAAGAAATAAAACTGCATTCATAGATTTTCGAAAATTTCTAGCAACACGCGGGAATCGAACCCGCTTTTATCCGAAAAAAATACACCCTGCACTTTTATTGCATCGATCGATAGGGTTAATTATAAGAATAAAATCTCTCTCACAAAATTGATTAATTAAATGAAAAAAAAAACCATGAAATCTTAACGTATATTAATAAAACTAAAAAAATGGTAATCTGACTAATTAGGTGCTCGAAATGAGCTCCATTTTCTTGGATACACAAACTTAATCTTTTAACGAATTCATTTTGAGTAACTTTTAATAACGTGTTGTGATGAATTGTGTTACAAATCGTATTTTTAACCTCATCCTTCAACTCGTTTACACTGGCATAGGATTTAAGGTAAATTTGATTTTTAACATATCCCCACAAAAAATCTAAAGGGGTGAGATCTGGTGATCTCGCAGGCCATCTGATTGTGCCGTTTGTACCAATCCAGGTATTAAAATGGTTACTAATGTAGGCAGTAGTGACTCTGCTGTTATGGACTGGAGCGCTATTTTGCTGCAGAATTATTCGATTTCGCTTTTCCTCGGATAAAACATTTAACTCATTTCTTAAGAGATCCAGTATTTCAAGATACTTTATAGTGTTCAAATGACCTCCGTACACGTGGACTAACACAACCATATTTCTCATAATTCCGCACCAAACGTTGAAAGAGAATCTTACTTGATTGTTATCTTCATGAACACGAACAGGATTCGCTCGTGACCAATAATGGTTATTGCTGCGGTTGTACATGCCGTTATTACTAAAGTTGGTTTCGGCAGACCATACAATGGCCGTCACGATAACATTTATACTTATACTTTTTAAGCACTTGGAGTACGCGAGTGTGGTTCGTTCCACTATCTTCTGCAGCATCTCTACTTGAAGCCTTTGGAAATGCTTCGAAGTATGTTAAAACATTAAAATCGAATTCGGAATAGTTCTGTTGAGGAGTTTGCCGTCGCTTTTCGTAGCTACCCGTATTTTTTAAATTATTTACCATTCTTTTCAGAAATAATCGAGTTAGTGCTTGTCGATCCCGATATCTCTCTTCATAGCACCGCAGAGCTAAATTCACATTTTTGTTATTTTAAAAATAAGCTTCCATTAAATCAAATTGTTCTTGACATGCCATTTTTACGATGAGACAAATATGAAATTTATTTATTTATAGGAAAACTATCAGTACTTAAAAAGGTTATGTAAAAATATTCAAATGGAAATAACAAAAGACAATCCATTTTCAAATGAAACATTCTTTATTTAAATTACCTCATGCCACTGACCAAAGCAACTAACAAATATGTGCAAATTGCAATCTTCTTATCTAAATAGTACTTCGTCATTTTAATGGATAAATGACGTCAACGATTATTAACAAGTAATCTGATGGACCTTTGAGTAAAAGTGCTTTAACTTGACCCATTGAATTTATAACTCCAGATTTCATGGTTTGTAAGAGAGATTTAATCCTCATAATTGACCCTATCGATTGATTTAGGTAATAAAAGTACAGGTGCATTTCTTTAAAGATTTTAGCGGTTTCGTTTCCCGCGTGTGGCTAGCAATTTTCGAAAATCTTTGAATGCAGTATTATTTCTTTTTAAAAATAAAGGAATGTTTTCTTTAAGTAAAAATTTCTATCTCCAGTACTTAACGTACTTTCCTTCCAAGTGGCATTACCAATTTCCACCCTGTATAACATATTAAAAAATATTTTGAACATTTTATTTAAAGTCAATATTATTTTTAAGTTATTTCATTTAGAACACCTTCAGTTCGCTGTAAAGAAATAAAAACAAATTTTCTCTCCTCGTGCTAATAAAAAAAATCATATAATTTATAAACATTTTTATTAAAAAAAAGTTTAATAACGTATGCCTCCACGTACTCTGAAGAATATTTCTAACTGCTTAGGCGTGCTGAATCATGATATCTACTAATTCTTCGAGTAAATTTTATCATTCTTCAATTACTGCATTCTGCACCAGACTGATAATTAGAATGGTTCTTACATTCAATTCAATTCTCTCCACTGATGACCACAAAGGCTGTTCGAACACCCAAACATATCCCTCCTCATACTATTACTTACCACCACTGTGCGTAGTTTCAAAATTTAACTGATAATCACTTGTTCTTTGCCTCTCCATAGTCTTACCCTACAATCAATTTATTTAAAAGAATTCTGCTTTCATTGCTGAACAATATTTTACTTCCTTGATCCTTGTTTCATAAATGTTCCTGATGTTCCTGAGCAAAAGTTCGTCTATTTCAAAGATGGTATAATGGAGGTTTGGCGGGTACCAATGAGCCAATCAGCTATTTCGAACCTTCTGCGTATCGTGCGGTCAGGTACTTGACGAACTTTTGCATGTTGATTTCTGGCTTGGGCAGCCGTTATACGCGAGGTCTTTTTAAAGTAAATTGACTTGATTTGACCACTACCTAGCCCTGGAGCAAATATAGGTCTACGATGTAGGAGCTCCCTCATAAGATTTAGTCGCACCCTAAACATCTCGGGTTGTATATGCTCGGGCACACAGTCACGGGCAGGGATTTCCATTCCTGGGCAAAGGATACCTAAAGCGCTTAGTTAGTCAGAAAGGAGTATCGGCCAAGTAGGGACACAAATCAGAATATAACAGTCATCTGTTCCTGAAACATCTTTTCCTGCTTAGGACTCTATTTCTTACTTCGTACTTCTACTTCGCCTTATTGAAGAAAAAATTATGGAAACCAAAACACAATAGGAAGCGGAAACCGCTCGAAATGATTTGGTCAGCATAAAAATGGCATAAAATGAAAATAATTATCGAGTTCGTAGGTTTAAAATAATTGCAAGGAAAGTGACAAGCAAGTTATGTTCTAAATTTTAAAATAATGCTTTTAAATTAAAAATAAAATTGCCTGTAGTGTTAAACAAAGAAGTTTTATTGTTTTTTTTTACGTTCCGCTAAATATGCCACCGTGTAGGTATATGCACAATACAAGTGTTTTCAATACTGGGATTCGAAAAGTGTGTTTACAGGAGACATATACTTCTAAAAGCAAACATTTAAATAGAAGAACATAACGATTCGCCCTATTAATGGAATAGTGTATTAACTCAAAAAGTTTATTTTTTCAGAATCGATGATTGACTTCCCGCGAAAGATAATTAAAATTTATGTATATTTTAAAGTTTATTTATCACAGACATGTAAACAATTTCCTACTTGTCAAATAAAAGGAAAAATAACCTAATATTTTTTAGTAACAACTGTTTTGCCCAGAACTGGCTCGCAAAAAGTAATTTTGAGTTAAGTAGATTTATTTTATTTTTTTTCTTATAATATTTTAACGATGGTTTTATTGATTGATGATTGATTGATTGATTTTTGATGATTTTATTGCAGAGAACCAAATATTATCTTCGGCGATAGTTATAATCTTAAATTTCACATATTTTGAGTTACAACACTATTGTAATAGCAGTGGGAATTGATGATGCGATGTTCTGCGACATTTTTGCTTGATCTCCATGGTGTAGGTACTTAAGATGAGGTTAACAACCTCTGCATATACAATGATGCGTCATTATGTGGCTGAGATGAGGCTAGAAAAGGATGGTGAAGGAATATTCATAAAATATGGCATTTATGTTAAATTAGGAGAATCTTTCTAGTTAGTAACTTACAGCTACAAAGCATTTCAGCCAGCTAAAGCCGTAAAATGAAAGAGAGCCGGTTGCATTGAATTTCTGTCTGTTAGGCTCAGTGTTGCCTTTCAGTGCACTGTTTCTCCTAATTACCTCCTAATTTTTAAAAAATATGTCTACATTTTGGAAATTCGGAGAAATATGAATGAATACAAACAACAGTTTAAATGGCAACACTGAGCAAAGACAGAAAGTAATCGCACCATGTTTACTTTCGCCTCTTAAGTATCTTTTTTTATAAAATCAAGTGACAGGATGGACAAGTCGTGCGTCTTATGGTAAGCTACACGCCTGTCCATAACAGTTGCATTGCCACTCAGAACTTTAAATCGCAAAAATTTGAGGGGCACTGCTACTGCGCCCGTCACTCTGAGATATAAGTTGACAAGTCTCATCTGCCTGTAATTTCACCAGCACCCTTACCCTTCAAAACCAGACCATAGTAATGCTGACAATACTGTTTGGCGGCAGAAATAGGTAAATTGGCAGCATTTCCCAGGACGAACTCTTTCACAAGGAGCTCTACTGCTAATATCTTGCTCGGTTCCTTCCACTACATAATACTTATATCTTTCTAATTTTTTAGTGCTTCTTTTGTCCTTTCAACAGAACCCATTAGAAATATTATTTTTAATCAAGCACTGTTTGAAAATGGTTGTTAAATTATATTTGTGTTTTATTCGTCATCTCCTTACTTTAAGGCAGCCGGATAATCATGAAAAATATTTTCAACAAAATTCTGTTCTAATTATTTATTAAGTACCAGAGGAAATTGCTAAATCTCTTATGATATTCTGATTTACTTATAGGTGTCGAGTAGAGCAGAGTAACAGTTTATGCAGCACATGATAGTAAAGCAAAAGACAACCGCGTCATGAATCACAAGTAGTCTATTTGGACGCCTGTACCAAACTAAAACTATACCTACTTTTACACAATAGGATACAACAACAAACACGTTTATGAATTAAGTATCCCTATAAACGAAATGCTCGCACATAATGTTTCAGAAATTTAATTTTTTCATTTATATTTCAGGTTTAGAGTTCGATCCTACCCACGACGAAGAATTCGCCTACGAAATGTACAAAACAGATCGGTATATTGTTGGAGTTTGACATTGACTTACAATTATAGTTTGAGCATAGATTATTATTGTTGTAGTTTTAATAAATAGTTATCAACTTCAACTTGTCTCTCTCATCTCCTTGTCCTTTTTGAAATTATTGAAAGATATGTTCGAAAGTAGGACGTTTAAGTTCGATTCTGACTAAGAATCTCACAGATCCTACACTACCTAGCACATCGTGTACCTACATTCGTTGTAGCCGTAGATTGTATACACAATGGTTTAACACAATATAACATTTGAATGTCTTTAGAAAATTAAATGTAAACGTTTTGTTACAAACGTTGTGTACAATCGCGAAAACCTAAGAACTCGAAACGTTTTGTTAAGTTTATTATTATATTTCACTTCTTTAGTACCAGTTCTATAGGCGAGTGACCTATGAACGGAAACTGGTTGTGATTGTGATCTGTGAAAACTTAATAAACCACTCTGTTATCAGTTTTTTAACCGACTTGAAAGGAAGGAGGGAGGAGGTTCCCAATTCGACTTATTTTTTCTTTCTATGTAGGATGTTACGCGATAACTGGATACCGATTTACGAACTGATTTTAATTATTCATTTTTGTTGGAAAAGGGTAGGTACATCGATAGCGGTCCCATTTAAATTTGAAGAAAATATTCCACCTCTAATAATAATTCACAATCCGGTTTCACACACTTTCCGGTAACCGATTTCAATAAAACCTGGCAAACAGATGTGATTCCACGAACTTTTGCGTTCGGTTTTTTAGTACCTACTCTGTAGGTACCGAGATAATTATTCATTTCTCAATATAGGGCTCTACTTATTTTTCTAGCATATATATGTATCCTTAAATGGACAGGGCTGTATTTAACTTACAAATTGAGATTAGGTTTGTACTAAAGAGAGAGCTAGCTAAATACATGCTTTATACATATTATATATTTGTTCTGCGCTTAGAGAAGTGTTTAGAAAATATTAAGCTTTTAAAAATATCCTTGAATCGATCATTAACTGTTACTCTGAAAACATGCGTCCACATTCATGGTTTTATTAAATATACCACGAAGTAAACTTTTTTTTTTTGTTTTGTGGTATAAACAATTTACGCCGTGAAGCCGTCTTGAAGAAAATACTAGAACCAACGATAAAGACTACCTACGTATAACTACATTGAGTTCTTAGACTAGAGCTTACAACTCGGAAAGAACATTCTCAACGCTGCAACAGACACAAGTAAACTCAAGATCTGGCAATTTGCCTTTTAATAAAATTGAGACTATCAGCGCAAAAGTGGTGTTACCCACATTGTTTTTTGTTTTTTAGAATAATACTAAAGTAATAATTATTAATTTATTAGTATATGAGAGGTTTGGTTTCAAAATTGGCCAAATCCAAAAAACTGATTTTTCAAACTAAAGGATCACAACAGTGAATTGTACTTTCGTGCTTCTGAAAACTAGCTAAATCCACGTAAAGTCTATGAAAGACGGTACAGAAATATATGTCTGGTTTCAAAATTGATCAAATCTAAAGCACTTGAACTTCAAAATCAATCAAATCCGGGATACCCCATCAGCTTCGAGTATTTGGTTTGACCGAGTCGGCCATATTGTTTTCTCTTCATTTTGCGGTTTAGTCGGGCGAAGAACTTTATGCCGAGTTTCGCTAAAAAAAAAACTACCAAAATAATTGAGGCAAACGAGGTGTGTATAGCCTTCTTAGACTATTTATTTTTTCCATCCTAAACAAAACAACAAAAGTTGACACGGAAAAAATTGCTCGCTAAGCAAACTTTTCAAGTAACTCATGTTTACAACTTGCAACTTTCGCAAAACAGGGGTGCTTAATCTCAGCTTCGGGTGATATGCATTCCTAGCTCCTACCATTTTTTTTGCTATTTTTTTCTTCTTTTAGTGTGCTTATACAAGAAGTTTTTGCTAGACCGGCAACAGTACAAAATTGAAAAGGCAATGTGCGAGTTGCTGGAGGAAGCATCTTTATTTAATGATATAAACCTAATTTTAATGGTATCTACATATACCTAAGACTAAGTTTAAGAATTTAATTTTTTAAATTTAGAATATATCGAGTTCTTAGCTTTTCGCGATTGTTATTATATAGGAAATGAAACTATTTTTCCGGATTTAAATCGTGCATATTTGTTTTTTCAAACAAACCGACGTTTCGGTCCCTTTACAGGTCCCATGGTCACGGTTGACCAGTCAACAGTTCGTATTAGATTTTAATTTTAAGAATTTAATTTTTCAACAAAATTATTTTAGCTTTTAATTTCATCACTTACACAAGCAAACTGTTGCCCTTTTACAAGGCAGCCACTGTCCTTTCATTAGCAGAAATGGTCAAATCTATCAAGAGCAACATTAAAAATCGGCTAAATCCTAAGTCAGTAACATTTAATATCAGTCAAATCCTACGTTACTAACACTGCCCTCATAACGAAAAAAGACACAAGACACAACTATGCGTACTTTACACAGCAGTTGTGCCTTTTTTCGTTCCGAGGGCAGAACAATAGATCTATTAGATAATTAAAAATTTTAGACCATATTTGAATGGGACTTTTTTTACGTAGGAGTAACCTTATACCTCGTCTGAATTATACTCACAAACCTGAATAGACTAGTAAATTAAAGCAAAAGTAAATTATTCACCAGATTATGACTAATAATCATGATCTCGTGGATAATTTACTTCAATAAACATTCATGACTATCATGACTCATCAGGAGCTACAAACAGCTTTACCAAAGTAAAAGAATAACCACCTCAATTTTGTATGTCACATTAAGTTCTGAAGATGACCGCTTCTTCTCAAAAGTCCAAAAAATAACCAATATAGGCATTTGAAAGGAATCGGACAAAGAGAGAAGGAAAGAAGAGTATCCTGCATAGCATTGTCCTTTGCCTTTCCCAACGAATAGAATGTTAAAAAACAACAACAAATTATTATCTGTCTGGATTTGCTCGGACCTTTTGGAGGGAAGTGTCGTTTTTATTTTGACTTTCAATTATTTTGTGAAATCTACACTCGCGAGCAACCAAATCGACTCAAGCGCTACCTCTACATTCAAACATTGTTCTATATAAAAGTATACAACATTTCAATAAAAATAATATGCCATTTGAAAGCTTGAAACCTAAGCTTTAAAAAAACATCAATATCAATAAATAAAACAAGTACCAACATGTTCATTTGCGCAATTAGGGAGAATGGGACTAATTACTACCTACGCTACCTGCTAGTTGCGCTACCCTCTACCCCTATAAAAACCCCCGTGACCCTTGAATCCTTATCAGTTGCTTATCAACAGTTGACCGATACACATCTCCGCAACCTGCATTCATTGTTTTCAAGAAACCATGGATATCACACCTCAAGAAGCCGCTCAAGTTGTTGCCTTATTGCAACAAGGACTCAGTCAGCGAGTAGTGGCTTCCCAGCTTCACTTGAGTCAATCTGCTGTATCCCGAGTATACCGACGGTATCAAGAGACCGGAGCATTCACTCGGAGACCAACAACCAGCCGCCACCGTTGTACTTCTGAAGGAGACGACCGTTTCATTGTCTCAACCACCCTGCGAAATCGGCACCTTACGGGTGTCGACGTGCAGGGCGAGCTGAGACGTGTTCGAGGCGTAGCTGTCAGTGAGTGGACAGTAAGAAGACGTCTGAAGGAAGCCAATCTGACTGCAGGCCACCGGCAAGCTCGGCTACAGTTTGCTCGAGAGCATCATAACTGGAGCTTTGGGCAATGGCGGTCGGTCCTATTCACTGACGAGTGCAGGATGTGTCTGCGGAGAGGCCGGGTCTACAGGCGTCCGGGAGAGCGATTTGCCCAATGCTGTTTCGCAGAAACCGTTGCCTATGGTGGCGGTTCTTGCATGATGTGGGCTGGTATCTCGTTGGAGGGTAAAACCGAGCTCGTTTTCGTGCCTGGAGGAGGTCGAGAAGCGGGACTGGGAGCTGATGGGTACATCACAAATATTCTCCTGGAACATGTTGTGCCCTACGCAGGATTTGTTGGCGAAGACTTCATCCTAATGCACGACAATGCTCGATGCCACACAGCGCGCGTTACTCAGGAGTTCCTTCAAGAAGTCGATTTGCGCACAAAGGACTGGCCTGCGCTAAGTCCAGACCTAAATCCCATCGAGCATTTATGGGACGAGCTCAAACGAAGGGTACGAGCAAGAATTCCAGCTCCTTCGAGCCTGGAAGAACTGAAGGCAGCTTTATTAGAGGAGTGGGAAGGTCAAGACAACGTCAAAAAACTAATAAGATCGATGAAGAATCGATTACGTGCTGTAATTAGGGCTAGGGGAGGCAATACCAAATATTGAATTAATAAATTTTATACTTCTTAAGAAAAAAACGTGTTTTATTTGTGTCAAACTCCTTTACCCAAAATCCCATTTTTCTCCCATTTAAGTTCAGACACCGGTAATAAAAAAAAGTATACATGGATATTAATAATGACGACATTTCATAAAAGCTGAAGTTTCAAGCTTTCAAATGGCATATTATTTTTATTGAAATGTTGTATTCTTTTATATAGAACAATGTTTGAATGTAGAGGTAGCGCTTGAGTCGATTTGGTTGCTCGCGAGTGTAGTTTAAAGTGGAATAGGATAGTGCTATCGTGCCTTAAGCGAAGATTAAAACGCGAAATTATACAAATCTCGAACTAAAATACCCGTATCGGCCCGTTTTAAGAAATCCCGAGTCAATCCAAGCACGCCGCCTCAAATTGCCTATCCTCTTTGTGGCGGCCATATTTAAAGAAACATAATTCAACTTCATGTTTGGGCTGTTGGCTTTGCCAAAGCCTTAATAAATTAAAAAAAAATATATTAACTGTCAAATCTGATGTCATCATCGCCTAAGTAGTCTGTGATCATCGCTCATCGCATTCTCATTTCCAAATTTGTGTGTATTTTATTTAATTAGTGGAGCGAGGGGTACATAAAATAATACAATTGCCGACGATACCTGAATTTTGGGTGTAGTAAAGTGAAGTTTGGTTCAAACTGCTGCGGTGAGTATAGAGAAACTGTTGGGTCTCAACTCAGAACAAACGCAATTATTCCTTTTTGTCCGTATTCGTTTCGCCATGCGTGGGTTGTTGACCATATCTGTAAATCCAGTCGATAACTGCTCTGCAAAGAACAAAACTACTATCTTTCATGCGTAAATGATTGACGCATTTGAACAACTTATGCACTTTGCTATATTACTACTTTAACAAGTTTCAATCAATGTTGATTGATTATTAACGTTTGTAGAAATTTATTAACTACTGAACTACGAGTACGATTACGAGTACTTAAATCCATTTATAATTTTCAGAAGATCATGAGTACACAATTACTGGAAAAAGGTGTGTAGATATTGGGAACAGTATAATCTGTATGCAGTACCATGTCAGATACAGAGCAACACATTGTGAACTCAATGCAACAGATGTCAGTGCAACCTAACAACAGTGGCCACACAGAAAAACCTACTCAAGTTGTGACACCTGCCGTGAAACCTTCTTCAGCTAAAGTAACTCCGATTAAAGGTGCTTTGGTCTCTCCTGCTATAGCAACTATAGATAGGCTCCTGAGTCTCGGTACTAACGTGCCCCCGCCACCACCAGTCTTTACCAGACCATCAGACATGGACCCTCACACTGTCGAACAGCTACGAGCTGTCAAAGAATTACTCACAACCCAAGAAGAAGAAGCACAGAACCTAAGAGATCTGAATAGAGAGTTACGAGATCGTCTTGAGGAATGCGAGACAAAAATGAAAAAATTAACAGAACAAAATGAAGAGTATGCAGAGAAAGAGAAGGCTCTATCTAAGAGAGTGGCTGAAAAAGTGAAGAACAATAAACAGATGAGTGTTGTCATGGAGGAATATGAAAGAACAATATCTTCATTAATTGGGGAACGACAATCTGAGGCTACTCGGTGGGCTGAGGAGAGAGCCACTCTTGTACAAGAAAGGGATGAAGCTGCAGCACATTTAGCATCCATGGAACACGCCTTTAATGATGTACATACAAAATATGAAAGGTGTAAAGTCATTATACAAGGCTATAAGAGCAATGAGGAGGCACTAAAAAGATCAGTAGAGGAGAACAGTGATGTAATACAAAAATTAGAAGCAAGGTATGAAACCTTACGACAGCATGCCATGCAACAATTGAACAAGGCCAATGCTGAGTTGGATGCAGTAAAGAAAGCTCATCAGGCTGAGATTTTAAAACTAAATGCCATGCTTAAAAAGAGTGAAGTTGCGGCTTCTTCCTTGCAAGAATCACTAGCACAGAAAATCAAGGACAATGAGGAGCTGACAGCCATTTGTGATGAGTTAATTAACAAGGTTGGTTAATTAGTCACCATTCATGAGTACACACTATTTCACAGTAAGCATTTTATGTGTATATGTAGATGAATATTGTTTCAATATAAGTGTAAATGATACACAAACCTCCCATAACAAGCTAAATTACTTAAAGGAATACCATGTCTGTAAAAAATAATTTGTTATATCTGCATTAATTGTGTAATTTGTGCAATCAATCTCAGTTTTATATTTTTGTACCATTTTATGTTTTAGTTCTAAGTTTTATAACTTTTGACATTCTTTTTTATGATTATTTCAACACTTTAATGTTCATTTCAGTATTTAATTCAATTCAGTATTCATTAATGATTTACTTCATGTATGTTAAATTATGGAGATTACACATGTATTGTGATTCAAATCAGTTGTAACTTAATTTTATAAATTCATATAAATCGTCCAAAGATGTCAGTGGCTTGATTTGGATTCATAATCTCAATATTCATCATTACAAATGTTTTGTTGGCAAAAGTGTGTAAATGTGTAAATGTACAGGTGTGTTTTCAAAATGAGACATTTCAAGAAGATTCACATTTCAAGTATTAGAGAGCATTTCACACATATGAACATCGTGATTATGAATGGTGTATGAAATATAACACTTACTAGTTCGTTTAAAATAGTGTTTAAAGTTCAGCTCTCGCGTGTTTGTTAAGTTTCGTACCTAGAAACTACTGATTTTATTGAAGAATACTTCACAAGCTAGCTGCCATATTTGATTTTGAAAATTCATTTATGTTATTTGTAAAGAATTATTATAGATATTTAAACATTATGTATGTGCTTGAAGTAGTTTTATCTTAAAGAGAAGTAATAGTAGATTATTATCATTTTAAGTACTAGTTTCTATGACATCGATTATTATAAGTCTAATCTGGTACTCGCAATATCTTGGTTGGTTCTAGTCTTCGCAAAATATATTAGTGGATCTGCAGTGCAATAGCGTGTTCAAAATCAAAGTATTGTACAGTATTTACTATCAGTTAAAGTTTTAATCGCTTGTTATTGATAGATAGAGATTGGGAAGTTTCAAATTATTTGAAAATTGTAAACATAGAGTCATTTCCCCCTTTATTCAAATTTCAATGTTAGGTTTTAATGTTGATTGGTACTATTTGAAAATCGTTGAAGAATGGAATCAACGTAAATTTGTATATTCTACATACTTGAAGATAATATCAGTTCCTAGAACTGACCTAAAATGTTTTGCTATGAAAAGCATAGTAAAAGCACAGTTTTACTATAAAAAGCATAGTAAAAGCAATAATAGGATAGCCTTAAACCAATAACTTGGTTTCGCTGAGATTAATAAGCTTTAGCTTAGCTCATAAATTCATTTGGATCTATTAAGAATGAAGCTAATTTTCAATAATATTTTGCTTAAATCTTAAATAAATAATGGAAAGTAGAACTAAACCAAAATATCGAAATATGGATAGTTAATGAATATTAATATAAACAATACTAAAGTCTTACATTTTAATTTATTAACACTTATTTTGAAAATATTTGTAATGTGCCTTTGGCTCTTCACCATCCAGTCCAAGTTTCTTTGAGATTAACTTTATGGGGAAACATTAAAATGATTTCGCATTTCAGTTCATTCCGTCAAAGATGAGTCAAGTAATAAGTGGATGGAATCAACTTATGGCAAACGAAAAATTTATCAAGTTACTAAAACTTAGCTCGACCTGACGAAGTATATTCGACATTCCACGATATTATTTTTATAGATCTTTTGCGCGAATATGTTGGCTCTCCCATTTTTTTTAAACTTTATGTTAATTTTATTCTCTTTACGAAAATCTTAAATTATAATTTTGTAATAATGTACTACATATTTTTTGTATTATATTATTATGTATAATGGTATGAAGAATTCGTATGAATTGCCTATAATTTACGTAAATTAAATGAAAATAAATTGATCTTACATTTATAAATCTTTGTTATTATTTATCTTCGTTTTTATTTTGTAACCAATTTCTGAAAAGGTAGTTTTTTCTTGCTCATACTTTTAATTCTTAATAGAATATAGATTATATATAGATATAGATTTTTTGTTTCAGTATAAAACATGCAAGATTTGTATTGTGCATAATTACGTTACGATAAATAACTCACGCGAACAATAAAAAACTAATAACAACAATACATTTATTTACAAGTAGACAAAATACAATTTTATTTTAATGCTTTCTGGTACAAAACTAACAATTGGCGGAAGACTGCCGGACAAAATAATAATAATATATAAATCACTTCTTTTTCCTGAGGAATTTATATGTATCCTTACTAACTAAATAACTAACTGCTGACATGACTGTCGTAGCTGCTGTGATGCCAACTAGCGCGTGCATAGCCGGGTGGTCGACATAGCCAAAAACAGGGGATGCCATGGTTGTGCCAACCTGCAAAAATTGAAAGTTATTTGAAACTACTACAACTTTGAAAGTATTACAATAGCTAATCAAGTTCGTGTGCGGCACACCCATGATGACTACGGGCTGCGGGGATCTAAAAGGACAATTCGCAAGGACTACCATTATATTTCAATCTATCGAAAAACAAAGAAGTACTTGCAACACTTTTCTCCAATTATACACTAGATAGTCAAAAGTCAAGGAATAAAAATTGTTGTTTGCGATGTTAGTAATATACTCCTGTGAGGTTGTTAGTATTAAACAAAAAACACGTATCATTTCAATGATTTCACAAGCCTTTAGTCATCTGTCTATGTGAAATTACTGTGTGTCCAGCATATCAACTGTTCGGACTCAGAGGCGGTTAATTTAATAATTTCAATTATAGGAAATGAAACTATTTTTCCGGATTTAAATCGTGACCGTCAGGTTGGCTGGTCGCCTGTGGCGTCTGGCACTGGCACTATATTCAAGAAATGCTACCTATTTGCTACTATTTTCTAAATAATTGCTACCTATGATATATTCTGAGAAATTTAAAAAAATTTTGACCAGCCGTTCTGACGTCAGGATGGCTGGTCGCCTCTTTGTTCAGTATGAAGGGAGCAGATTTTCCAGAAGTATGTATTACCAATAATTGCTACCTATTTGCTACCTTCACGAATTAAAGGTATACGCTTCATATCTACATTAGTTTAAAAAATATAACCGATTGAAAATATTACGAAAAAGTGCCTGACTAATCTAAAAAAAGCAAAAGTTTTTAGTTCTTTATTGCCATAATATAAAGAGCAGGCGTTTAACAATTACTTCGAGGCGAACTAATCCGGTGAGGTTGCTGATGTATAAAATCGAGAGGGTAGGTAACCATTATAACGCAATATGTGTGTCATTTGTCATAAGTGGATCAAATTGTTTTAGTTTAATTTATCTGAGGATTCAAAGGTTTTGCTGTTGCTAATATTGAGTTTAATATTTATGTTTCTGGTTTAAGTAGTGTTTGGTGACAATGAAAAGAGGAAGTGTGTTATGCCACTCGATGAGCAAAAAAATGCATTACTACAAAAAAAGTATTTTTCCAGTAAATCTGATTTACCGCCGCCTAACGATCCACTGTAATGAAAGTAGTGTAGTAGTGAAATTAGTACCCTTTTATGACATAAAATGTCCACACAGGCACTATATCTTTCTGTAAAGAAAAATTTCCACTTTTTCTTCAGTGGTTCTGATAAACCTGCTGTTCGTTATGAAGATCAAAACAAAATTCTGTCTAATGATAATCAATCAAAAAAGGAATACAAGGACAAAGTAGTAGTCGTAAAACAGTAATTTATAATTTTATTATTGATACCTATCAGTGGGAACGAATGCAACCGTTAAGTAAACGTATAAAGTTAAATCATGGACCTGAGACTGTATTTAGAATGAAACATCGCTTGCCTAAGCATCAGTGCGCCCATCTTTTGCGCGAAAAGATTTGGGAGGTTCATCCCATTGCACACAATTGGATATTTAAAAAGTATTCTATTTCTAAGAATAATAAAATAACGTGCAATGGAATTTGCAAAGAATGTGAGGCTAACACAAAAATTATAAATAACTAGCCTTCGAATAAAATAGCCCTGTGTAAGTGCACTGTAACAAACTACGATAAAGATTTTGTTCATACTTTTGCTAAAAAATTAAAACTATGTAATTTTTTTAACAACTATTTTCTACTATTTTACTAATTACAACTAAATTCTTTGTTAATATTGCGTTAAGATGGTTACCTACCCTCTCGGTTTTATACGTTAGTAATCTCACCAGACTAGTTCGCCTCGAAGTAATTATTGAACGCCTGTCCTTTATATTATGGCAATAAAGCACTAAAAACTTTTGCTTTATTTAGTTTAGTCAGGCACTTCTTCGCAAAATTTTCAATCGGTTATATTTTTTAAATTAATGTAGATATGAAGCGTATACCTTTAATTCGTGGAGGTAGCAATTATTGGTAATACATACTTCTGGAAAATCTGCTCCCTTCATGCTGAACAAAGACGCGACCAGCCATCCTGATGTCAGAATGGCTGGTCAAAATTTTTTTAATTTCTCAGAATATATCACAGGTAGCAATTATTAACAAAAGATAGCAAAGAGTAGCAATTCTTGAATATACACTCAGTACCAGGCGCCACAGGCGACCAGCCATCCTGACGGTCACATTTAAATCGCGTGTATTTGTGACTGTGAATCAGTCAACCGTCACCATGGGACCTTTAAAGGGCCCGAACGGTCGGTTTGTAAGAAAAAACAAATATACGCGATTTAAATCCGGAAAAATAGTTTCATTTCCTATGTGTAACAATCGCGAAAACTAATTTAAATTTATTAAAAATTAAACAACAAATTAAAAATTTGTTTTGTTGTACAATAAAGTGTTTGCATAACATACGTACAACAGTTTAATAATTCATTAGATTTTACTTTCGAACAAAAATAAAAATATTTAAATGGACCGTTTTAAACGGTGCAAAACGCAGGAGCGTAGGTGGGAGCCGTCGGGGCGGACGCTTGCACGGTTGAACTACCCTACTATCAAACACAGGTCTTATAAGTGTCATATAGTACAACAAAAACTGAAAAGTTTTATATTAGTAAAATTACGTTTTGTAAAAAGTCATGGAACAAGTTTTGTATTTTTTTTTTGTTTATATTGTTAGTAATATAGTCCTGGGAAGTTGTTAATATTTTACAAATAATCCATAAGGTAATATTTAATAGGGTAATACCTCCAGTATTTGGTGTTAAGTAGCGAAGTAAACGTATGTGTAAAACCTACCAATACCAGTTGAACAGCTGTGTTGACTTTACTGATAAACGTAGGTGCTAGCTGCGCTGTAGCTTCCGTGACGTCGAAATACCTGCTTAGTGTTCTCTGAAAAATTAAAAACAAAAAGTTAATATTAATTAGTCAATGGCATCGTGTATGCAACAAGTACAACAAACAAATGCATTAGGATTTCATTAGGATCTAGCTAAACTACTAAACACTAGTGTGATTTACTGTAGTACATCTACTAAGATATAGTTAACAGGTAGATTTAGCTTAATTTAAAATATTCATTGTTAATATAAATAAAAATTTATGCGATCTGACAGAACTGTAACACGCGTCTGTATAGTCAATCTGTAGGACTAGCAAGATACTGTTATTCTCGCATAGAGATCTCGCGCTTTATGTCGCTTTCGCGCAAGTCGCGCCTTATCGTGTTAGCCATACCTGGTAACTGCTATATTTATATTTGTGTTCCATCTTTGTATTAATAATTATGTTATGTCACAACATAATTATTAATGTGGAGTGTGTGAAACTAGTGGAGTTACTTTCACACAAAAAAATATTATATCGTGATAGTGAAACATGGATTTAATAAATTCAATATTATAAGATTAAGTGTTGTGTGGATGGATAATTAATATGTCGACATTGAACTATACTACTTACAGGCGGAGGCAAGCTCATATATCTGATGACAAAGGCTGCCGCGACTAGGCCAACATCTCTGCCAACTATTAGCAGAGTAAGCCACAAAGGAATCAAGTTCTGCCATGTCAGAGACAAGAAAAGCGATGCAATTAGTATTTTGTCTGCCAATGGGTCCAAAAAAGAGCCCATAGCTGACGATTGACTCTTCCACTTTCTTGCTATCCATCCATCTAGCTGGAATAGAAATTAATTTTTTTATTAATACCTACTCAAAGTGCTCTTTAAAAAAATCTTATTTGTAGACAGGTTTAAGGTTTTTAATTAAATGAAGTTAATGTAATTCAATAATAATTTAATTAATTAAATTATGTTTAATTTACATAGACGCGGAACGAAATAGAAGCATATAAGCATTACAATTTTTGTAATCATAGCATAACGTCGCCTTACTTTCTCAAACTCGTATCTTAATTCTTAAAGCACAAAGTTACTGAAATGCAAAAAATGGATGTATATACAAATTTCACAGGGCTTCCCTAGGGCGGGGCTATGTTGAGTGTGTGCGTTATTATTATTTTAAAGGTTTTTACTGCTTTATGAGTTCATTTTTTATATTAAGCTATAGTGTTCTTGTGCCTCACTATCAATTAGGCAATTTATGTTGGAGCGAAACAGAATGGAAGCGAATTTTTGTAATGAAATTGTACATAGCACATCGTCGCATTACTTTCTCAAACTCGTATCCTTTAGGACAAATTAACTGAAATGCAAAAAATGCATTCTATATACAAGTTTACACGCTGATTTCATATCACATTTCCTTAATATTTACACACTGGCTTTTACCTATCCTTAAAGTAATGCATCCAAATTAACACTCTGGATATGAAATTTACAATAAATAGAAAGTATTGCCATCTTCTGAATAATCACTTTATAAGATACGAGATTGAGAAAGTGAGGCATCGATAATGAACTTTATGTCAATTGTATAATGTACAAACTAGACACGAGTCAAAAAACAGGTCGTGCGTATTCTGGAGAATTCTCAAGCAGGCTCGGGAATTCCTGCAGCTAACATATCTAGTCAATAATAGATTGACATATCGACGTTTTGCTTTCTCAAACACGTATCTTATAGAGTGATTATACAGAAGATGCAAAAAAATCTATATTTTTTTTCAATTTTGTACCATGGTTTTTAATTTGGATGTATTACTTCAAGAATCGGTAAAAGACAAATGTGTGTGAATATGAAGGAAATATGATGTGAAATCAGCGTGTAAACTTGTATACAGGGTTAAAGGTTAAGTCGACCTGAATCCTTTAAGGGGTAACAGTTTGCATCATTTCCGACTAATTTCACTATGAAACACCATACCCCAAACTGAACCGTTCTCATGTTATAGGACTTTGAAGTTTTTTTTTAAAAAAGTCCAATTTTTTTCCTAATGTCCCATTTTTTGTGTCTTGTGCTTGTTATCATTTTGTTTTTGGTATTTTTGTGTAGTAGATTAATAGATTTATTACTCAAAATACCAAATTTGCAAGTAATTGTACCAACTGCGCCGTAGTAGACGATTTATTATTTAAAAAAATAAATTAATTGCTTTTTTTTTTTATTCTTTCTTAGATATTGAAAAAAAGTCTATGACAGTTGTGCTTAAAAATATCTACGGTTCTTTAGCTTTCCAAAAAGGTATAGCAAGCTAGGTTAATATTAGAATGCCTAGGCAATAAGTTGGATGAAAAGCTACCAGGTAGAGTAGTAAACAATAGGGGTACGTTAAGTTACTACCTGCGCCTATTGTCCTTTAAGGGATTGCGGTGCGTGCGAACAGGATATCATACGATGTAAACAGGTGCGAGTGACACAAGACGTAATTCTCCGTTTATGCCATTGACTTGGCAGGTGTCCCTGGACAGTTTCTTCCTATTCGTGACTGTGCTTGTTAACTGGACTTTGATTTGTGATTCTGATTTGGAACTGTTGAAGATGACGACCTACACGAATGAAGAATATGCCGATATGTTAATTTGTTACGGGTACTGCAATTGTGTATCCCTATGAGCTCGTAATGAATACATAACACGTTATCCCGGCCGCCGAGTACCGGATATTAGTGTATTCGAGGGAGTTTACCGACGACTTAGAGAGACTGGCTCTGTTTTGAGAAGACGAACAGACCTAGGTAGACCACGTGTTAATGATGATGATGAAGATCAGGATAATGAGATAGTTCGACGGTTTCGCCGGGATCCAACTACTTCAACCAATATTATTGCCCGATAACTTGGGCTCTCACAATGGAAAGTGTGGCATACGGTGCATACTGCCGGTCTCTACCCCTATCACTACACGCCGGCACATCATATCGAAGAAGGAGATCCTGTGAGAAGGCTGGATTTCTGCCGATTTATGCTGCACGCCGATTTGGACGATCCTGGATTTTTGAGAAGAATCTTATGGACAGATGAGTCAAAATTTGATCAAGATGGCATTACCAATTATCATAACCTTCATTATTGGTCTCCGAAGGCACAATTAAATCCCAATAAAAAGCGGGTAAAGAGATCACAAATACGATTCAGCCTCAACGTGTGGATTGGAATTGTTTCCAACTATTTAGTTGCGCCTTATTTTCTGCCTGAACGTTTGGATGGAGAAACATATGAAAACTTTTTGAAACAAGATCTATCTGATTTACTCGATGATATACCACTTGACCTTATACGAGACATGTGGTTCCAACACGACGGATGGCCCGCACACTACAGAAGAAGTGTCAGAGGGTGGCTAGACACTAATTACCCAAACAAATGGATCGGAAGAGAAGGACCCACTCCATGGCCAGCTAGGAGTCCAGACTTGACTCCCATGGATTTTTATGTTTGGGGACACATGAAAAGTTTGGTGTACAATGATACAAACCCAATAATATCCGTCGATGTTTTGAGACAAAAAATTATTGATGCCGCAAACGAAATTAGAAGAAACCACCATAACCACTGGTGTAGTGAAAATTGGCTTAAGACACAGAATGCGAGTATGTGTGCGAAACAGAGGTCAACATGTAGAACAGTTATTATAGGCTTCCTGTTAAAAGATAAATAAAGTATTTAATTGTTACCATTTGGATTGTTTTCTGACCCAAGTTAAATTTAAAAGTTTACTACTACCTGCCTTTCATCAAACTTTTTGTCTAGGCATTCTAATAATCTAGCTTGTTTCCACATGACTGGAATCCCTCACCTGAATTATATTAAAAATAAATGTGAAAAGGGTATAAATATTATTAGAGCTCTGTGTGGAGTATGGTGGGGTGCTCGCCCTTATACCCAAAAATTGATCTACAATGCTGTAATAAGGAGTCATTTTGATTACGCTTCATTTTTATTAGAACCCTGTAACAAATCCGCTGTTAACTATTGGGATAATATACAGGCTAGATGACTTCGTGTTATATTAGGAGCTATGAAATCATCTCCAATCAATGCCATGCAGGTTGAGAGCTTAGATCCCCCGTTATGTTTCCCTCGTCAGTACTTATGCGACCGTTTCTTTTTCAAAATCTTACAAAATTCTGCCCACCCCATACTTGCCCCCTTGACTCAACTAGCGAACCTTGTTACAACTTCTAAATACTGGGAACATAAGAGCCCTCCATGCCTTTTAAAAAGCTTTAACAAATCTCTCATCGGCCCCCCTATCAATCAATACTCTGGTAATCCATTGTTTTTGATTGATTTTGATGCACTAATTTTTAAACCCAACATTGTTACCAATTTAGGAATTGTCAAAGATGACCCTAACGCTGGAATACTTTTTAATAAAATCGTTAATGAGAAATGGAACGGTTGGCTCAATATCTTTACAGATGCTTCCAAATCCACCACAGATGATTTTGTTGGCTCTGCCGTCTGGATCCCCATATTTAATATCTCCTTAACTTTTAAATCTCCCTCTAAAGCGTCCGTATATTCGGGTGAGGTGATCGCTGTTTTTAAGGCAGTTTCATATGTTGAATCCCACAAATTAGACAAATCTGTAATTTTTACAGACTCTCGTAGCTGCCTGGACGATCTGTTAAAATTCCCCTTTCGTAGCAATGTTCTGCAGATGTTCACCAAATCAATCTTAAAACAAAAGAGCTTCTTTACAATTGCTCTAACCTTGGCATACAAATTGTTCTTGTTTGGGTTCCTGGACACTCTGGCATTCCTGGGAACGAACAAGCGGATAGATGGGCTAAATGGGCGATTCATTCTGGTACCATTATATATGATAAATGTTTTTCTCAAGACTTACGCTCCCAGGCTAAGATTGATTTACACAATAACTGGAAGACTTACTGGTCGTCTTCTAGCAGACAAAAAGGCAAATATTATGCTGGTCTTCAACCAGTAATAC